GGACTTGGATGCCTCCAATGACAGGGAACTCTTTCCCTCCAAAGCTGCCCTGCCCGCCTAGTCTTGGGACGCTCTGGCTGGCAGAAAGTTCCTGCCCTGACCACTACCCTACACAGAAGGAAACAGTGTGTCCACCCTATTGCCCACTCGTCCATCTCTCCTCAGGGCCAGGAGCACCTCCAGGCCAGGACGTCACTGGCAGCCCTCAGTGGGACACAGGCCATTACACCATCTGTTCCGTGGCCACTAGGAACAGATCCTGGGATTGCATCACCTTGTCAGCCCAGCAAGGCTTAGGGCCACCCACCCAGGAAGGGTGGGCAAGACCTGTGCCTTGGGCTTGATTCCTAGGCCAACACTCTGTCCCCCATAGCAGCCTCCTCCCTTGCTGAGGGACTCAGAGAGCTGGGGAGGACACAGAAGCCCCCATTTCCTGGGCACCTGGCACAGGGGCTCACAGCAAAGCCCAACCAGGCTGCTCAGGGTCAGCAGCCCCCTCACAGGGCTGACCTTTCCTGCTGCATGGCTTCCCAGGTGTTCGGGTCCACGCGCAGCATGCACACGTCCATCGAGGCACTGGAGCTGCCGGACACTGCAGCGCCGCCTGCGATCCTCCCCTGTCCTGGGGCTGACAGCTCCACACTTCCCTGCAGCTGCCCGTCCACCACGTCAGAGAAGTGGAAGGGGCCGCCATGCACCAGATCTGGAGCAAGACTAAACCTAAGGCCCCGTTCCCCTGGACACCACCCTGCCCTGACCTCCCCCAAGGGCAGTGGGACCTTTCAAAGGTCCTGTCATCTGGAAGTTGAGGGTCCAGGCGCCCAGAGCTGGCGGAGCCTGGTGGGTGGTAGGCTATGCCAGGCCGCTCCCCTTCATCCTGCTGACCAGGGCTCTGTCTAGCACCAGGGCAGGTACCTGGTTCTGGAGCATCAGGCTCCAGGATGTCCTTGATGGACAGGTTGACACACTTGTAATGGGGTCTCCAGAACCAGGAGCTGGAGGGCTTCCTGCTCACCAGGCAGTAGGGCCGGAAGCTGGTAGAGCTCCGGAGGCTGTCCACAGGGACGAGCTCCCTGCTGTGGTCCAGCTCCTGGACCACGCTCCGGACCACCCTCTGAAAGGCCGACGCCATGCTCCTGAGGAGGGCAGATGGATCAGGCACTGTGCCCTCAGGGCTGGATGAGTGGGAGGGGACAGGGGACGGCTTGGGACTTGGATGCCTCCAATGACAGGGAACTCTTTCCCTCCAAAGCTGCCCTGCCCGCCTAGTCTTGGGACGCTCTGGCTGGCAGAAAGTTCCTGCCCTGACCACTACCCTACACAGAAGGAAACAGTGTGTCCACCCTATTGCCCACTCGTCCATCTCTCCTCAGGGCCAGGAGCACCTCCAGGCCAGGACGTCACTGGCAGCCCTCAGTGGGACACAGGCCATTACACCATCTGTTCCGTGGCCACTAGGAACAGATCCTGGGATTGCATCACCTTGTCAGCCCAGCAAGGCTTAGGGCCACCCACCCAGGAAGGGTGGGCAAGACCTGTGCCTTGGGCTTGATTCCTAGGCCAACACTCTGTCCCCCATAGCAGCCTCCTCCCTTGCTGAGGGACTCAGAGAGCTGGGGAGGACACAGAAGCCCCCATTTCCTGGGCACCTGGCACAGGGGCTCACAGCAAAGCCCAACCAGAGTCTCCCAAATCCCAGCTGTGTCCTCTAGGGCCTTCTCTGTGCCCCAAGCTCTATGAGCCACCTGTTCAAGGCTGAGGTTTCAGGGGTCAGAAGACAAGGCAGGCCTGAGCCTGGACACAGGAGACCTAAGCAGGCTGTGGGGGAGCCAGACACTCCCCTAGGAAGTCTCTGAGCCCCAGTGCCCTTCTGAAATTGGAAGGTGGGTCAAGAAGGTGACTGGGGCTTGAGGGGCCAGCACTGGGGGCCCCGGGGCCTGGAGGGCTGCCCTCGGAGTCAAGCCCAAACCCAGTCGGGACCAACCCTTGTGCTGGCCTGGGGGGGGGCAGCCTTCCCAGTGGCCTGGGGCTTCCCGGTGCCGGTCTGGGTTGCGGGGCTTCCCGGGAGGGTGCTGGGCCCACGGCGTCCCCCACGCGGCGGCGCCCACGCGGCGTCAGGGAGGCAGCCCACCGAGGGCAGGGCGTGCGCACGGGGCGCGGGGCGCGGCTCACCGGGACCCGACCGTCGGCGAGGGGCCCACGAAGCGAAGCGAGGTCGCCCTGTGGGCCGGGGGTGCACCGTCTGCTCCGCCCGCCCGGGAGCCGTCGAGAGCGCGGCCCGAGCAGCTGAGGTCCAAAAGCGAAAGCGGCGCTTTGTCCCGGAAGAGCCCCGGCGGGCCCGCCCGGCTGCGCGTGCAGCGCCCGCTTCCGCGTCCCCTCCCGAGGAGCCCGGCCAGGCGCCCCGCCCTGGTCGCCTCAAACCGCATAGCGCTTGGTGGCTGTTGCTTTCTTAGAAATCTGGGGCCACGGCAGAGGATCCGAATAGAGGTGACTCCAAAGATGCACAGAACGTACAGGTTGCCAGCAAGCACGTGAGCAGATGCTCAGCGCCATTGTCAGTAAATGCAACTCCACAGCCTGAACAGAAGTGACTCCATTTTGTTAAACCTCTGAATTTAAAAGCTTTTTTCCCCCCTGTAATGCAAACCACATAGCTTGCAGCTGATTGCCAGAACACCGTGACTCTTGCTGACATTACACCCAAAATGGGGCATTACTAACTGGGAGGGTCACTCCTCACCAGCTCACTAACCCGACCTTTTTTCGAGATTAACAGGAACCGAACCCATGGAGAATGAAGTATGACATTGGCCAACTCCCACCCGGGAAGTTCCTTAATTATTTCAAACACTCAAGCATGTCTACATGTCCCAGCTTGGTCACCATGAATCATCTTCCCACCACACATCCATTAAACCTTTGGCAAACCTGGGAGAGCGGAGATGATCCTTGAGACATAAGTCCACCATTTCGCCAGGGCACCAGCTTCCTGATTAAAGGCCACCTTTCCTTACACCTCACAATCTTGTCTTTTGATTATTGGCTATTGAACAGTGAGCAAATAGACCTTTGGGGTTTCAGTAACAAAACCACAATGAGATGCCACTTCACACCCACTAACACGACTGTGACACACATACAGATAAATAACACATGGTGGGAGGATGTGCAGAAATGGGCACCTTTGTGCATGCTGATGGGAATGGTGTAGCCATTTGGAACAGTCTGCAGTTCCGCAAACAGTTAAACATAGAGTTGCCATATGACTGAGTAATTCCACTCCCAGGTACATTCCCAAAAGAATTTAAAGCAAGCTCTCGAGTGTGATGTTGGTAACACCAAGGCCACAGGTTCAGATCCCTATACAAGGATGGCCGCTTTGCTCACTTGGGAGAGCGTGGTGCTGACAACACCAAGTCAAGGGTTAAGAACCCCTTACCAGTAATCTTTAAAAATAAATAAATAAATAAAATAAAAAAAGCAAGATCTCAAACAGATACTTGTACGCCAGTGTTCATTGCAGATGAACCTTGAAAACATCATGCTAAGTCAAACAAGACAGAGTCAAAAGACAACATACCACACGATTCCATCCATATGAAGTGTCCAAAACAAGCAAATCCATAGGGACAGAAAGTATATTAGTGGCAGTCAGGGGCTGGGGGAGGGGGTGGGAAGTGACTGCTGCCAGGTATGGGATTTCTTTTCGGGTCATGAAAATGTTCTAAAATTGTGGTGATGGTTGCACACCTCTGAATATGTCAAAACCTGCAGAATTGTACACCTTAAATGGATATATTTTATGGCATGTGAATTATATCTCGATAAAGCTGTTATTTTTTAAGAAACCTGGAGGGTTGGTTGGCTCAGTTGGTTAGAGCACAGTGTTATAATACCAAGGTCAGAGGGTTTGAATCCCTGTACCAGCCAGCCACCCAAAAAAAAAAAAAAAAAATCTGGAGCCCAGTTGCAACATCTGAGCTCGTCACAACAACCTCAGTGCCCTGTTGTCCTAGGTCACCATGGGCCTTGGACCTGTCCTCTGCACACAGTACTCTTTACACCCAGCTCTCCTAGCATGCTCTGAGGTTGTGGACCAGGCCATTTGGGCTTGAGCCCCAGGCCTCCTGTAGGACGCTTGCGAGTGCCCCCACTTCTAGGCCTGGTCACAGTGGAGACAAGGTACAGCCAGGTCCCTCTAGTGCTGTCTCCTGGCTCTTTCGGGTACTATTTTGCAAGCCAGGTGGGTCTAAGGTTTCATCTCAGGACATGCTGCTGGACAGAGCTGACCTCCCTCCTGGATCCCAGCAGGCAAGGAGCCCACCCACACTGCCATCTCTGGAACCCAGGTCCCTGGGGTGTGGCAGCCCCTCCCCACTGGGCAATGGGGGCCAGCATTTGTGGGGGCTGTCTTGAGGCAGTCTCTATAGTGAAGATTGGACACACTGGACACACAGTGTCCTGTGAAGCCACAGGTGCTGGGGGCTGCTCTGCCCTGCCCTGTCCTAGCAGCCACTCCTGAGGAGTCAAGGTTCTGGCTGGGTCAAGGCTGGGCAAGGTGGCTACAGAACCAGCCCCTGCTCATCTGCTGACCCAGGCCCTGCAGCCCAACCTTGAGTTGGCTGGAGGTGCCTCGGGCAGGAGTGGAGTAGTAACCTGGAGGCCTTGCACCTGTCCCCCTCTCACCACCATATCCTGCCTCTAGGCATGAGAGCTCTGCTGGCAGAGGGCCTCTTGACCCTGGCCCAGGGCCCCAGTAACGGGTTCTAGGAGCTGGACCAGAGCTGGGAGCCCCAGGCCATTAGCTGGGTGTAAACCAAGTGTCCTGGTCTCCTGCTCATGGTAGCAGGAGACTCTAGGAGCCTGGGTGGGGGTAGTATGTATGCACATATGTGTGTGTGTGTGCATGTTGTGCATATGTGTTTGCGTTCGTGTATACACTGTAGTCATGTGTGTGCCCATGTGCTCATGTAGGTGTATATGTTGGTGTTCACGTATGCATGCATCGGAATCTGTACTCGCGTTGTAAGTGTGCATGCATTTGTGTTCCTGTGTGCTTGTGTGTGTGTGCTCATGTGTGTCAGGGGGTGTGTGGCTTGTGCCAGGTCTTTGACCATCGCTGCAGGAAGGTGACCCCATGTGGGCATCCTCCCTCCTCCAGCTCAGCCTGTTCCCCTCCTTCCTCTGCAGCAGGACTCCTCCGCACAGCCCTGCCATCTGAGTCCTCTTGCTCCTTATCTCCATCTCTGCAGCAGTGGCCCCTGAGCGCAGGGGAGTGGTGAGTCCTGGTTTACTTTTCCAGAACGCCTTCCGTGCCTCGTGGGGGAGTGGGGTGGAGGTGGCACGTGCAGCAGCTCCTGTGGGACTCGGGCTGCGGCAGCGGTGCCAGGCAGCTGCCATCCACAGCCAGGAGGAGCAGCGCGGTGGCCGTGGCACCCGAGGACAGCGCAGCACACTGCGCTATAGTGCCCGGGCGGCCGCCGCTTCCGTTGGGCGCTGGCGGGGTCGGGGCATCGCGGGCATAATCCCTCGCTCACGTTTTCAGTTCTTTAGGAATAACTCAAAACAGAGGTGCTGGGCACGGTGTGCTCCAGAGGTGGCAGAGAGGGCAGGAAGTGAGTCAGCGGGCGAGGAGCGGGAAACGAGGGAGGGGCCGGCCGCACACCGCACCGCTGCCCGGCCCCATTCACAGGCCGGGGAGGACCAGGACGTCCGGAGGAGCCCTGCGGGGACACTAGGCACGCCTCGCGGCAGCCCTGCCACGGGCTTCGTCCCGCCCAGTTCGGAGGTGGGGCCGCCCCGGGCGAGGTGTGGGCGGGCCCTGGGGGCGCAGAGCCGGGCGCGAGGGGCCTGCCCGGGGCGGCAGAGACGGCCGCAGAGGCGCGCAGAGCCGGGGCAGGGGACGGCCGAGGCCAGCGCGGC